GTTATTGTTCTATTCAAAACAGTTTAACTAAACAGTGGCAAAATTATCATTTTCCAGAAACACCTAACTCATAGTTGTTTTCACACAGCTGCAACAAATAACCAACTAGCTTCCCCGCAGTAGCTTCCTGGGGCAGCAGCTGCAGCTGCACCAAACAGAGCCTTAATTGAGCTGGCCTAAGGATATAACTCAAACGGTCATTAAGCTCCAAATAAGGAATAAATATTATGTATAGAGTTCAACAATTATGTCTGAACTCTAATTAAATTTTATCAAGTGGATCCAATTTAAAATAGATACTTGGACATTTTGGAAGAGAAATGACCATCTACTTAGTAGGTATTAAATTTTTTTGGCTTTCAATTAAGAGATATGTTCAAGAGCTAGTTACTCAATGTTTGACTTATAAACAAAGTCATTAAAAAAAAAATCTGGTCAATATGTTGCATTATCGGTATCCTATAGGCCTTAAAAAGATCTCTCTATAAAATTTATCTTAGGATTGTCTCGCACAGCTTAAGAAAATGATAGCAAATTTATCATATTTGATCGCTTCTCAAAGGTGGCCTGTTTCATGCTATGTTCTAAAATCAAGATGCTCCTCACTTTACTAAATTATTCTTTAAGAAAATTGTACATCTACATGGGCTACCTTCAACCATTGTGTTTGACTGTGATGTTCAATTTGCTTTATATTTTGGATGACTCTTTTGAAGTTATTAGGCACAAAATTAAAATTCTTCTTTGTCTTTCATCTTCAAAGAGATAGTCAAACTGAGGTAGTTATCAAACATTATGAAATCTCTTAAGATGGCTTACAAAAAAAGTTTAGGAAATTGGGACTTGCATCTATCAACTTTTGAATTTTCATATAATAGTACTATTTTTAGGACAATCATGAATTCATGTTTTGAAATTCTATATGAACAAAATCCCAAATGACCCATTAATATAGCCAACCTCCCACCTCATACATTCTCAGATTTCGTATCTTCTTGCTAAAGATTTTTCAATTAATGGGCACTACCATTCTCTTCAAAATTTCTTCCTTCATTTTATGAATTTTTATCATTCTAATCCCTATAAATACGGTTGATGTATAATGATTTAAATCAATTTTTGAATAAAATATTTGAGCGAGAAATTTTTTTTTTGTTGTTCGGTGCTTGGTGGCTTTAAGTGTTGAATTTTTTTTTGGTGAGATTAGGTATTTATCATTGCTTTTTCTTTTAAGTTATTCATTATTTGTCCATAACACTTAATCTAAAATCTTCACTACATCTCATCCATATCCTAAACGTCTCTTAATATCAATAACCTACAACAAAATCTTTATAACCATTCTAAACCCCTCCTCATAGGTCTCAACAAGGTTAGAGAATATTAAGGTCTAGTATTGTTCTCTAACCCTCAACACCATTATAAACCGATAAAAAACTACCCATCTACTCCAGATCATAGGTAGTCATCTTTAGCAAATCACCAAAAATTATTTCCAACCATTTATCCAATTTTAAACTACTTTTACAAAAGAGATATGTCATATCAGCCTAAACTAGCCTAATCTCGACTAGTTTTGGCATTTTAGCCACCATTCTTCCTATATCACCTAAACATTGACCAAAACTTTCACATCATATCTTTGGACCAAACACCAAACATACATAACAAATTTTAGTGCTTTATCTCATCAAAAGGCTACTCACCTTCATCTCCTAACCACAAACAAGAAAGCCAAATAATACGTCTTTGTGTATGTGAAAAGGTGTTTAGATAAATTAGTTACCCTAGTTGATAACCAACCCTACTTATTATGGTATTGTGTGGTATATTTTTATAGAACAAAATAATGATGATTAGATAGTTCAAAAATAAACATATCAATGTTATCAATTATTTAAATTTGAATCATTTATCTTTGAAGAATACATTTATAACATGTATATATAATTGTTGAATGCAAATTAAAGAGATATAGAGTTGATCCAAATAATCATAATAAATATCAGCATAAATAAAAAGGTGAAACATCTATTAGTTTATTAATAACATGAGTTTTTAAATAATTGAATATACTCATTTCAATTTTATTTTTTTTTTGCACAAATTCCTTATATAATCTTATAGGTGAATATGATGCTTCTTAAAGCTTAATGAATGATTTATTTGATTAATATTGTAAAGAGCCAATTTCTATGCACAATAAATTGAAGAGAAAAAGCCTCAGGTATCCTAAAGACACCCTACAATATGTTTTTAGAGAAAAAAAATGTTTCCTAAGTTTCCAAATAGTGTGAAACGCTTATATCTTACAATAAATTAAAATACAATATATTAGATGATATGCGAATTCTTACTCTCTAGAAAAATCATGATGATATAGGACTCTAATCATTTTTGCACTTCAGTTTGTAACTTGCAGACAACAACGAGTTTATTTCACAAGTAATTCATAGAAAGTTTGAGATGTCATTATTAATCAATAATATTCAAAACATTTTATTCGCTAACTCCTTAAAAGTAGAGAATAGCTAACATGGATGAGATTCTTAGATTTGTCTTACAACAAGCATTTAAAGTTTTAATAAAAATACAAATACACTAAATATTTTCACACAAACTTTGAAGAGTGCATTGTGTTTTCATTTTAATGGAGAATGGAATATACGTAATACATCATATATTTTATTTAACTATTAACAAATTCTTCTTGAACTTAAATATGATCTTATAAAATTCTATAAATGTGTAGATGTATTTCAAAATATTACTTTCAAAATATTACTCTTAACATACTTATATCCTCTCTACTCACCCCTCTAGCGTCGAGGTTTGGGAGTTGACTTATCTTCTTCAAAATTTTGGTAGTATGTTTCATCAAAAGATGATGGAGATTTGCCCAAAAGTTTCTCCCCCAAGTCATTGAAGAAAACTTGGTAATTGGGTTCCACACATATCAACTTATCAGTTATTGAAGCAAGCTCAATATCTACACTCAAAATACACTAAGGGTGAAAATTCTCTAGTTTGAACTTACCAAACCAAGATAATGTGAACTCGTCAAGCCTAGTTAAGGAAGAGCTCGCAGGTTGAGCCCATGATATACTTGTAGAAAGAGTCCTAAAAGAGCTTGCTAGCTGAGTTCGATGCAAATTAGCTTGCTGGCCAAGGTAGACTTAATGAAGTAAGCTTAAGACACACCTGTCAGTTTGGCCCAAAAGAAACTAACCATATGGCTTACATTTACATGACATGAACTAGGTGAATCTATCATCCTTACTTGTAAATATCATTCACCGAGCTCATGAAAAACTTACCTAAACCAAATAAAAGCTAGCAAGCTAAATCCATGAAATACTTGTTGAAAGAGTCCTAGAAGAGCTTGCTAGCCGAGTTCAAAGCACATTGGCTTGCTAGCCGAGTTCAAAGCAAATTGGCCTGCTAGCCAAGTTAGACTTAATGAAGTAAGCTTAAGACACACCTGCCAGTTGGGCCCAAAATAAACTAACCATATGGGTTATATTTATATGTCATGAACTGGGTGAATCTACCATCCTTACCTGTAAGTATCATTCACCAAGCTCATGAAGAACTCACCTAAACCAAATATCAAAATCAAATAGCTGACTCAACCTAACTAATTGTCTGAACCCATAAAGCTACTTGATGACTTTTACAAATGGAACTCTTAAATTTATTAGGTCAGACTGTTGATTATTATTCCAAGTTTGAGCTCTCACTTAGATTATACACTGCTTAAACTCCAAAGTTATGCATGATTGTATGATAGTGTGAATAAGATGGGTGATCTATTCGAACGTTACACCGGTGAGATAAAACGGTAAGACCATTAGTAAAAAAATGAATAATATCTTGATAGATGAGAGTGCAAGTTGTTTAAAACTATAGCTAAGCCACCTAAGAAATTTAAAAATTTGCAATTAGACTCACACAAAGGCCATACCAAGTGGGTCAACCACATTACGTATTTCAAATCTGCCATTTCATTAATTGTTGAATTGTTCTATGTGATGCTATAATTACTAGATTATACTTAGTTGTATTATAATTGTTAGATTATACTATAGTTTATCTTTTTATTGGTCCTTCTTGTACAAATTTTGAATTACACTATAATGTATTATGACTATTACATTACATTATGCTGTCTTTACTTTATAATCTAAGTGTATCAAAGCTACTATAATCACACTTCCTTATAAAAACTCTATAGTTTGTTAAGTTAAAGTTGTTTGATGGCACAAAGGTGCAAGAAAAAATTTGTTAGAATTTTCTTTGTTTCAGGCTCAAATCACAATTGAAGATTGTATGATAAAATTCAAAGATTATTCAAACCTTGTTTGAATATGATTCGAAAATTAATTAAAACTTGTTCAGATTAGTTTCATCATCAACAAATTTTAAATAAGTAATTACATTGGCAAAAATATTAAATGAGATTTATAGACATACCAGCAACTCTAATCATATTACATATTTGATATTTATTTGGATATATAATATATATAACAAACAACAATCACAATTCTCCAATTTCAAATATTATAAGACTCATGAAGCCCCTGTCAGCCAAATCCTAGTCTCAACCAGGAGAAATATTTGCGTACATAAGATGTACGCAGCGCTGCGTACATCAGAGGTTATTCTGGGGGTACAGGGGAGTTATATCCGGGTTATACCGGAGGTTACAAGGGGGTATAACCCAGATATAACCCCATTGTACCCCCTGAATAACCTCTGATGTATGCAGAGCTGTGTACATTTTATGTACGCAAATATTTTCCCTCAACCAGGCCCCACTTACATATAAACGGCCAAGAGCTAGCACGGTTGTCATTCAGAACGGTCGCTCGGCTGCCTCTCGAGTCCCATACAAATTTTGGCCACGTCCCGCGCAGAACAGTAAAACTGGCGGTAGCAGTTTCAAAACGTGGGTTCGTCCCATCATAATCTGCTTTGCTCTCTCACTCTCTCTATCTCGGAGGCTGGCAAATCTGCATTTGCGTGGCATTCGGTTGGCCTGAAGTATCGGCTTCTTCTTCCACCTCTTCCATCGGAATATCAAGGTTTGAACTATTGGCCCTCTTCTGATTCGTTTGCTGTAAAAAAAAATCAACTTCTCAAACTGGATGTTCGAAGAAAATCAAGATCTTGACCAGTGATTCTTTCTACCACAGATTTACAATCAGTTTCCTGTTATACGTCGATTTAGTTCTCCACGAGTTAGCGCTTGGGGTTTAAATCGAAGCCGATAGGGTTTTGTAACCGCTGAATGGATGTGTGCTGAAGCAAGAATGAGGGGAATTTTTTGCTTTTTGTCATGGTTTTTGATTATGTGGGGCGCGTGTTGGGGGAAATTTGTGGTGGAGAAAAATAGTTTGAAGGTGAGCTCGCCGGAGGCATTGAAAGGGGTATATGAGTGTGCTATTGGAAATTTCGGCATTCCTCAGTATGGTGGGACAATGGTGGGCTTTGTAGCTTATCGCAAAACTAACAGGAAAGCTTGCAAGAGCTTTCAGGAATTTGATGTCTCCTTCAAATCGAAGCCTGGAGGTTTTCCAACCTTTATTCTTGTTGACAGAGGAGGTGATTTTGACCATGCTGTTTTCTCTTTTCTTTTTTTACTGGCGTTTCTGCACTTTACTGGAAATGTTCTATTTTTAATTTGCTGTTGCTCTATTTATGCATAATCGAGCATTACGTTAAGATAGATTTTTTATTTGCTAGTTCTGTGCTGTACTGCTGTTGTGTGAAGCTTATTTTTTTTCTATCATGAACAGGTTTTCTAGCGTTTTCTTTTTTTGTGATGAACTGGTTAGATAAATTGTTCTTTAATGATTTAATTTATCACGGATTTTATCTGAAGAAACGCAACAAACTTCAATCAATAAGAAAATAAATAGCAGACTCTTTATAACAAACGACAAGCAAATTGGTTTAATTAATGAAAATGGAATCTTGGTTCACGACGTCTTCCCAACAATCAACTCAAACAACTATCCTTAACTTTTCTTCAATGCAAAGATTTTAGAACTATTGTCAATCATGAGTAATTACTATCTACAAGCATCCATTGTTGAACAGGAAATCCAATTCAAACAACTTATCCAAGATATGGCTATGTGGGTTAGAAGAGCATCATTAATGCTAACATCTCAAATAGATTGTAAATAAAACTCGAGTATATTTTTATCCCTTGTCGGCATCTATTATTCTAATGAAATCTTAAACATCAATATTACTTGTTAACATATGTCAGTCTATCTAATTAAATTGATTAGTAACCAAGTTATCAATCAACTTTAGGATATTATTGAACAAGCAATTGCAATAAAACCATATAAAACAGATGAAGAAGATAACATCATTCAGTGATCATTTTTGGAATTTTATCATAAACCCAGAGTAGAAAATCAGTTCATAACTAGATGAAAGACTAAATTCAAGGTTCTCTAGCTTAAGAACATGATAAGGACAAAGAAAAACCAAACCAAATTTGTTGCAATTTTCCTTCTCTAGACCAGCCTTAACCTTCGAGTTTTCTTCAGTTGGTTTACTTTATAATCTCGCCAAAACCCTCTCAAATACATACATTGTCCTTGAATTTCAGCACCACGGGATTTCAAACCATGTGATGGGGCGCCGAATGCTTAGTTGCTAGGTTAAGTTCTTGCCTGTACAAACTTTCAAGTTTTCCCTTGAAAAAATATGTTCCACTTCTTCATATTGAAGAAAATGGAGGAGAAATTTCTCTCTATAGTCTTATTCTCAATATTCAACTATAAGATTATATATATTGGGCAACTATTCTCTTCTACTTTACAAACTTACCAAATATTTCTACCCTAAACATTAAAAGGAAATAATTCTGAAATAAAGTGAAATAAGTATAGATTGGAAGAGAATAAAAATCATCAAGGAGGTTCTTGAATTGTCTCTAATCAGATCTTACTATTTTTTCTCAGAATTCCACACTCTTCCTCAAGTTGGGTCATTTAAGTTGTAAAAACCCAGCTTGATATTCACCTAAGTAAAATTGCCTGGAGATAGAGCATTGGTGAAGCTTGAAGATGGGTTTGAAATAGATCAAGTGATTAATGCCACCATTGACCTTTTTAGAGATAAAATGTCTACTAATCTCAATATGTTTGGTCATGTCATGATACATATGATTTTTTGCAATACTGATGGCGGTTTGGTTGTCATAGAACATCTTTATGGGATTGACTGTTGAATATCCCAACTCATTTAGTAATCTTTGAATCCACATTCCTTCACAAATTTCTAAAGTGCTATGTACTCATATTCTGGACACTTCTAGAGATCACTGCTTATTTCTTGCTTCTCTATGGGACAAGATTTTATCATACATAAGAACCATACCCAGATGTAGATTTTCTATCGGTGAGTTTTCCTGTCCAACTAGTATCTGTGTAAACCTTTACCTCCCTGTTGTTTGATTTCTTGGACAGTAACCCTCTATCATGGGTCTTCTTAAGAAATCTCAATATTTTGTAAGCCATCTTCTAATTTTTTAAATACTTCATGCTAAAGGGTACAAGTACTTTGGTTAAGGTGGTTTTGAAGTTCGAAAAAGTTGAATTATATGTTTTGCAAGGCTCTACTGTGGTAGGTGACGCAGCAGTCACTACTTCTTCCATGTCGGAAGATGAAGCAATCAGACTTTGGCATATGTGCCTTGGGCATATGAGTGAGAATGCGATGTCTGAACTGAGCAAGGCAACTTTTAAATAATCAGAATATTACTAAATTAAAGTTTTGTGATCACTCTGTGTTTGAGAAATAGAAGAGAGTTAATTTCAATATTGACATTCACAGTACCAAGGAAATGCCATACTACATATATTCTGATCTCTGGAATCATCTATAGTACCATCTGAAGGTAGTGCCAAATATATGTCAATGTTCATTGATGATTTCTCTAAAAAAGTTTTGGTGTTTTTATTGAAGTAGAAAAACAATGTTTTTATTATATTTAAGGAATGAATGTTCATGATTGAGAAGCAGGTCGGAAAACCTATCAAACATCTTCAGGGTTGTAGTTCTGTTCAGTACAATTTAATATTTTTTGCAAATAAAACCTTTACAGTTCGACACACACCTAAGCAAAATATTGTGGTAGAGTGAATAAATAAGACTATAACGGAGAAGTTTTGTTGCATACTCTCAAATACCAAGCTACCCGAGTCATTTTGGGCTAAAGATGCTTTTAAAGCTTGTTACAGGGTGAATTGCTCTCCTTTCATCGCTATTGGCAAGAAAACTCCATAGGAGATTGGGTTAGGTTAAACTGCAAATTACTCTAATTTAAGAATTTTTGTTGTCCTGCATATGCTGATATTAATAATGGTAAATTAGAATCTAAATCGAGAAAATGTGTATTTCTTGGTTATAAAAGAGGAGTTCAATGTTATAAGCTATGGTGCTGAGAAATAAAAGAAGTGATCATTAGTAGAGATGCTGTATTTGATGAGTTTACTATGTCACATACAACATCTAGTGCAGAATCTAAAGATGATTTTCATAAGAAAATGTTTATCAGACAAGTGAAGCTTCATATTGATACAGGTACATCCCCGAGCATAATTTTTTGAGTTAAATTTAGATAATCATGATAATATTGCTTTCTCACCATCATGATATCAAACATCGCATTATTCTATTGTCAAGAATAGAATGAGAAGAGAAATTAAGCCGTCTTAGAGATATGGCGAGACTGATTTGATTGCTTATGCTCTAAATGTAGCTGAATGTATTGAATAGGGTGAAGAAACTTTTAGCTATAAAGAAGTTGTGAATTTAGTTGACTCTAATAAGTTGATGATCACTATGTAAGAGGAAATTGAATCCCTATGTAAAATTAGAACTTCAAAATTTTATAAAATTACCTCAAGAAAAGAAATTTGTTCACTGTAAATTGGTGTTTAAGAAGAAGGAAGGTGCAACAATAGTTGAAGATGCCGGATATAAGGCTAGACTTGTTGCTAAATTTACAAATGTATTCTCTCCGGTAGTCAAACATAGCTCAATTCGAGCTTTACTTGGTATTGTGGCTAAGCATGATCTTAAGTTTAAACAGTTAGATGTAAAAACTGTATTTTTGCATGGAGAGCTTGAAGAAGACATCCACATATAGCAGCCCTAGGTCTTCATGGTTACAGAAAAAGAAGAACATGTTTGTCTGTTGACTCTTTACAAATTGAAAGAGTTTCCTAGGCAGTTGTATAAGAAATTTGACCCATTCATGATTGCTTATGATTTAAAGAGAAGTAAATATGATAGTTGTGTTTTCTTTAAAAAAAATAATAAATGATCATTTATCTATTTGCTCTTATATGCTATAATAGGTTGATATCTGTTAAGGATAAAGAAAATATCAAAATGTTAAAAGCTCAACTTTGCAGTGAGTTTAAGATGAAAGATTTGAGAGCTGCAAATAAAATATTCGACATAAGGATTCAAAGAGATAGAAATGAATGTAAATTATATTTAAGTCAGAAAGGGTATATTGAGAAAGTTTTGTATAGATTTAATTTGTAGAATGTCAAGCCTGTTAATACTCAATTAGCTGTGTATTTAGACTTTCATCAGCTTTGTGTTCATAATTTGATGTTGAGATTGAATGTATGGCTCGAGTTTCATCTTTCAGTGTTGTGGGATTTCTTTTGTATACTATGGTATGTTCTTGTCCAAATTTATTATATGTAGTAAGTACAGTTAGTGAATATATGAGTAATTCAGATAAAGAGCATTGGAAAACAGTATAGTGGATCATCATGTTTCTATGTTGAATAAAAGATGCTTGTTTGTAGTTTGGGAGGACTACTGATAGAGTCATTGGTCGTGTTGATTCAGATTTTGTTGGAGATCTTGATAGAAGGAGATCACTTACAGAATACATGTTTACTTTTAGTGGCTGTGCAATTAGCTGGAATGCTATTTTACAAATAACAGCGACATTGTCTACAACTGAAACTTGTAAAAAAAACACTTTGATTAAAATGTCTATTTGTTTAGTTGAGTGAAAATTTGAAGATCCCCACTTTATTGTGTGATAGCAGAGTGTTATTCATCTTAATAAAGATCAGCTGTTTCATGAGAGAACTAAGTACTTTAATGTTCATTACCAATTTGTTTGTGAAGTTATTGCTCATGTTGATGTGGTTGTGAGCAAAATCAATACCCATGATAACCCTGTGGATACAATGACTAAGACACTCCCAATAGCCAAGTTTGAGCATTGGTTGGACTTGACTAATATTCATTTCTGATCATTAGAGTTTGTAGAAGATGTGGAGAAGGTAATATTCTACATTCTTTGGAAATTAATGTCAATTTGGAGTTTGTTAAATGTGACCCAAATTTTGTGGCTATAGCTTATCATCTCATAAGGAATTATGACCATATGGATTAACATTTTAGAAGGAATTGTGAGCATGCAGATTGAGGCTTTAGAAGAAAATTGTGAGCACACGGATTAAAGGTTTCAACCATTAGATCAAGCTTATAATAGTCTTTAAATTGTAATTCATGTGTTATTGCTTTATTGGGTATCTTTTAATTAT